TCTCGCCGTCACGCGATGGATTAGTGATGTGACCGTTTCGGCTAATGGTAAAAATGCGTGTGATCTGTCTTTATGAGTGTGTTATCCGCTACAACCAGTGAGACCCGCATTCCTTCCGCTCGTTATCTTCTCAGCGTAGGACAGGTACATATTACACGTGTTCAGTGTTCAATAGAGCTTTCAAAACGTCATCGCGAGCGGCTGTGCTCTGTTACTTTCTAAGAACGCAGCAGATTTCGTTGCAAGTTTCTTTTGATTCCTTATGCTTTTTTTTTCTTTTTATATATAGTGATATATTCTTCACGGTGTGCCCTTTCGCTTATCACTTTCTACGATTAGAATTCTTACACGCTTAATGATTAATTGGCGAACACCCGTTACACGCGCTCGATGAAATTGGGGGGGGGGGGGGTTAACTACTGAATGCAAAATTACTCCTCTTAATTGTATGGTAATTAACGATAATTATAAGTAAGGATAATCGTGATGCAGCGGTGGAAACGTGGTGGATGGGCGGTTACAGGAAAGGGAAATGATTCTGTTAGTAATTTCTCCTGTTTTTTTCTTTTTCTTATATGTTATATACAAAAATCCTCTCTGTACTCTTTTTCTCGCGTTTTATAATTATTTTTCCGATTTCGACGATCTCTCCCTTCCTTCGATGTTACCGCTGTATTTTCCCACTGTTCTTCGATCTTTTGCTGACAGAAACTACTCTTTATCATCAATCTTGTTATCACACGAATTTCCTTCGTGAATTGTTCTCCCTGCTTAAAAAGTGTGTGGTACATTTCTTTCTTTTTTCTTTTCAGTATCTCTCGATAATGTACAATGACTCGTTCAAGTGTTTTCAAATTTCTGTAGCAAAAATAGCGAAGAGTAGAAAAAGGGTATGGAGAATGTGTGCGCTTCGATGGTGATTTTCCGATGGCTGGTTCGATATTCGATGTAAAAAATGGAGATAAAACGAAGGGGGAATAAAAGAAGAGAAAAAAAAATATGATCGTATCAAAGACTCTCTCGGTTCAGAGCCGTGGGAAATAAAAGCACGTGATACAAAATGATTAGAACAAAAATCAACTAAAAAAAGAGAGAACAAAAATGAAGAAGAAAAAAATGTGTAAGATCGAGAACGATCTCAGGCGTTTTTAAACAGCGCTGTTCTTTGGCCTTTCTCGCACGAGGAGGCTCCTCCTCGACTGCCAATTCCATGTTTTCTTTATAATAGTTATCGAATGGAAAGTCCGTAGAATTGTGTGTCTCTCCTTGCTCCCCGTTCTCGTTCGATCAAAGGGACATCATCGTAACAAGAAGAAACACACCGAAAGCGTGCTATGTTATTTTGTTTCTTTTTTTTGTTTTTCTTTCGTTTCTCGGTGAAAAAAAGGCTTGAAGAGTTCTCGTCTCGTTCTTTTTTTTTTTTTCTCTCGGTCTCCACTTTTCGCGCGAAGAAGTATCCCTAAAAAAATTATAAACGCATCTTTGGCTCCCCCCGAATGCTTCCTTTACACACCACATCCTAATAATGGTCTGCATTCTCGTGCACGCTGTAACAGAAGAATCACCAGAGGCGTGTCGTTAGACGAGTGTAGATTGTTTCGTTGAATAGGTAAGATTTTTTTGGGGACAATAAATTTTCCTGTGTGAAATGGTTAGTTGGTACATTGCATACGCTTAAATTAGTGTTATCCGGAAACCATCGTATAACATAGTGCTTCGAGAATACTGTTTCGAAGATCGTTCCTCAATTCTGAATTCTTACTTGCAACGTTACTTTACTTTCAATATAATCAACTTTTCAAATCAAATTACCCATCTTTTCCGAAGTTTTTAAAACAATGTCTCGTTACAGACCTGTATACACTATTCTATTCTACGAAGACATTATCGAACACGATTTTATTTCAAACAAGTTACAATATTTTGTATGTTACACGAGGTTACCTCTATACACGTATAATTGTTCTTTTATTTCTCTTCCTCTTATCTAATCCAAAACCGTAAATACACGTAACATCAGAAGAGGTCAAAAAGCTTACAACAGAGAACGATTAGACAAATTTATCCACACGTTTCACACTCAAAACACAACCATACTTCACTCCAAACGCACAGAGACAATATTAGTTGGATCACACCTGATTTAATACGAACTTCAACGCTCTCTTTCCAGTACACAGAACACAAGATACACAGACTCCAGGAAGCGTGGAGATTTAAAAAAAAAGAGAGAGAGAGAAAAACAAAAAACAAATCGCAATAGTGTCTCGTGGTTGTGTTACGCAGGACGGCGAGAGAGTATGATGGTTAGTTTGTTCCAAGAAAAAGCAGGAGTTTCTCGGGAAGAAGCCGACGATCGCGAGCGCCTTTGTAGGATGATTAGTGATTCCTTGTTATATCGAAAGTAGAACAACAAAATCACTAGTCTTCCATGCAACGGCGCTCAATTCTTATTGTGAAATCCCCTCTGCTCGGTTTAACTGGTGAGCACATTTTTAGAGTAGCAGTAGTAGTAGCCGACGACTAGGGTTCTCCAATTCTGTCGAGAGTCTCCGTACACCATCTGGGGCATCCGGCTTTCCTTCACCATATTTACCACGTGATTTCGTTTTCACGTTGTTTCTTCGCTTTTTTTTTTTTTGTTAGTTAATTTTTTTATTTTTTGGTTTTTGTTAGTTTCTTCGTGCGGGATACAGGTGAGACTCGATGCGACACCGGCAAGCGGAATTAATCTCTCTGGGGTGTTTCTTGCCGGAAGTAGAGGCGACTGCTGAACGCGCGTGATCGCTCGCGATGATAAGCGGAGGATGTTAAATGCGTGTTGCCGTTGCGTGTGAGCACGTGGAGGCTGTTATCGTTTCGTTGCGCAATTTCTGGCATCTACAGCGGGTTTTTATCACTCGCAGACAGATCGTTCTTTTACACCCTTAACCACCATTTTCTTTTTTATTATTATTAGACACATACTGTGTTGGATACAAATTTCGAATCATTTTTCTGCGTTACGTTGATGTTGGATTTTTTTTCTTATCGTTTGTGTTTTTCTCTTCTTTTTTTTTTTTTTGTCAACATGGAAGAGTAACGCTAGATCTACCGACGATTAATGCACGACGATAAAAATGGAAAAAGAAAAATGGTGCGCTAAGGGGTTAACAGCGTTTCCGTGTATGAAAGAGACGCGACATATTCGAATCGATATTCGCGCATGGAACGCGTGTTTGCATATTACAAGCTATCTATTGCGGAGAGATAGAGGTGTGTTTGTACAGAAGCTTCCTGAGAGAGGTTCCTATGGAAGTTGCCTTGCGAACGGATTGCTGTATATACTTCGCGATTAAACAGAGACTCTGCATTAATGGAAACATGTTACAAACTCGATTATATTTAGTAGTACACAGAATAACAGGCGTTAGGATATATACGAATAAAAATAGTCCACGATTCTTCTCCAATTATTTCCAAATCTGCAGGACAAGTACGGAAAATAATTTAATAACAATTGAGAAATAGGAAGAAAAATAGTGGATTACTTTTATCCGTACAATCAATGTACACGTACATCGCACGTAGAAGATGTTAATGATTACTTGTTAATTAACAGTTATAAAGTTCTTCTTATGCTTTGTTAAAGAGTTACACAATACATGTATGCGTTAAAAATGAAAGACGGTAGAAGAACGAGCAGGACAATTACCTCTGCTGGAGCAGGTACTGAGCCATTTGTATCTGACTGGGTAACCCGGTTATGGTAATGATGCGATCGTTACTGTTGGCCAATGGTTCGTCTATAGTGATCCCGGCGCCGCTATCTGATCTGATTTTCCGGATTCTGGCACCTCCTTTGCCGATTATGGCTCCCGCGAGCTATCAACAAGAAACATTACTATAAATCATCTACTTCATTTTTAAACACTGTAACATTTCTAATTCTTCATAGTGGAAGAAAGAATCGAAATGTTCCCTTTTTTCTCATTTCTGAATTTTACTGTGAAATTTACAGAGTAGTACTTACGTCCTTAGGAATGGTGACTTGAGTGCTGGTCTTGTTTCCACCCATGTTGCCCTGGTTCCCTTGATTGTTGCCGCCCATGGATGGGCCGCTCATTCCAGAGTTAGAGCCGCCGCCACCCAAACCGTTTGGCGCGCCTCCTTGCATGCCCCATCCATCACCTGCGTGAAACAGAAACGATCGGGCGATGATAGATCTCCTTAGACCTGGGTGGAACACGTCGCCGCTTAACGCATTGCTATTCTCTACCATTTGTACTCAACCTTTGCCGCAAGATTCATGACCGTGCTTGGCTAAATTTAACAGGGAATCGAAACTATTCTACTACTCTGTAGTGGCTTTCTGTGCATTCCCTTCCATTTATCAAATCCACGTTTTTACCCATGTTTTCGAACAACCGCAATTTAACTATTATATCAACAATCAGGTACCAGGGTAGCCTTTTGCACATTTCTCACTTGAAATACTTTTCTTCTCGGTGAAAGATTTTAACTCTTTGCGATCGTATTTTCCGTAGGCATGGTAGTCTTACTGGTCGGAATTATTTTTTGGTAGCGCGTACTCAGTCAATTATGTAGGAACCGACGAAAAAATTTCGTGGGATCCAAACGGGAATCGAACCTGGGGCCTTGGACTTAGCAGGTCGAGGCTTTGCGCACTACGCCAACTACTCCCTCTCTAATCTCCCTTGTCGGTTTCCTATTTAGTAGGAAGGCCCCGATACTACAATTATTGCCCAAAAAATGCATAAATTTTATTTCAATGAGTTTGTTCAAGATGTGAATATTATTATTATTTTTTCCCCGTTTATGTAGGCAAAGGGTGTCCACGGAGCGTTTAGAAGGTAAAAACGCCTTGGAAATATTCTGGGGTTCGACCACAAAGAGTTAATATCCGGCCAGATCGTTGTTTAGAATTTTTTTATCAGAAAACTACTAAAATTGGACGATAAAGTAGACGAGAATTGTGGTTATTAACGTAAGGGTTAATAGGATGAACGGTCTTTTCAGAAGTTGTGTAAATACTATGCAGAGATGAAAAGATAGCTAGAGACACGATATAGAGGCAACAGAAGTATTTCGTTCCCACTGCTTGGCTCTGCTGTCACGCAATTTTATCTGATCCGATTCGTGGATATTACTGTCGCGTCGGCCAAAAATGACAATAGGTGTGTCCAATTTCTGCGATTGTGTTTGAGAAGGTGGGCCAATGGGGATAGGAACCAATCAGACCCGCATTCCTCGCGCTAGCCAATTCTCATCTCTGCATAGTATTTAGAACGCATAACAATTTATCTTTCGCGGTGCACCTACGTCCGTAGAGATATCGGTAGCTTCTTGAACTCTTTACGATGAACTTATATCTAGAGTTGCGGTCATTAATTTCCAGCCACATTTAGAACAGTACAACTTGTTTACACCTTTTTGTTTATCTGAGCTTGTTGTGCAAATTTAAAACACATCTTTTGTAGATCTATGTCATCGAAATCGGATGATGCAGAAACGAGCGACGGGCTTCGAAAGATGTAAGAATCTTTAGATTTATTACAGATTTTCACAATCTTTAACCGTTTGTAGCTCTTAGCAACGTTAAGCGATTTCGATGAAATTTTCAGCATGCGTGTAATTGGCATAAATCTACAAAACGTATTTTTCAAATTTTCATTACGGGCTCAGATAAAAAAGTTGTCGAATGTGACATTTACAATTTTCTTCGCGATTCCCAGAAATTGCAATTTTTTCAAAAAATTTTATACGCGTCATCTAGTATACTAATCCTTCTAACTTCTCAAAAAAACTCAAGTCGTTAAGTCCAATTTTAAAAAAGTTATACCGTTCTAAAGTGTCCGAATATTAGTAAGAGTCACCGTACATAATCCTCGTATTTCGCTGAAATTTCACCGAATTTTAATACTTCAAATAAGTGATAATCGTCCTCGAATAATATTTCTTCTTATCAGCAATTGTCCACATTTAATTAAATTTTCACAACAAGCTCAGATAAAAAAGTTGCGAACAGTGACCTTTACAAGTTTCTCAATATTTTTTGCACATGTCATCTAGTAAACTAATCCTAATTTCTAAAAAACTGTTCTAAAGGTGGCCGCAAATTAATGACCGCAACTGTATATCCGCCTGATGTACTGTGCGGAGCTCAGAAGTTTGCCCGCGATGCTATATAATTCGATTCTTCGATGTTATCGCGCTCGACCAATAATAACAATACATGTGACCGATTTCTACGATTCAATCAAACTCGCATTTCTTCCACTCGCCAACTTCTCGGCTCTGCACAGTAAGCGTAGAGATATTAAAGGTGGAGCTTACATTAGCTAAGTTATTTTTTATTGTACAGCACAAAATAAAAAACATTTTCTTCTATCCCTTTCAATATCTCCACGTGCTTCAAATCTTCCGAAAACAATTACTTTTTCTCAAGCACAGAAGAACTTGTGTTAAATCACCCTCCTCCACGATACACTTTCAAGTTCCACCTCTAGCACAACCCCCAAGGGGTAGTTACAACAGTTGTCCATAATCTAAACCCTCACCGTTGTAATTTCCACCGGCGTAAGGTGGATGACCACCCCTGTTCCCGCCATATCCACCTCTTCCACCTTCGTATCCGCCACTTCCTCCGCCTCCTCCGCGGGAATTGCCACCGTAGCCACGATCAGGCGGTCCACCCGACATTCCACCGCCTCCGCCGCCACCTCCACGAAGTCCTCCCCTCGGTGGAAAAACGCGGTTTACAGCGTCTGGTATAGAGCGGCTGTCTTGTCGCGGGATCATGCCTACACCGCCGCCACCGCCACCACCACCGCCACCTCTGCGACCTCCTGGACCACCGAAGCCACCTCCTTTACCTTGGCCACCGTCCCCGGTACCATAACCGCCGTAATCGTCCGCATAGTAGTCGTCGAAGTTGTGCGGGTCGTAAGGGTTGTTCACGCCCTTTAAAGGCGACTGAAATCATTCGGAAGAAACAACGTTACTCTCTTCTGACACATTCTCGCTTAAGTCTCGGAAATGAAGTACCTTCGCTAGGAGCGGTTTGTAAGTTTCTCGTTCAATTAGTATAGTTGGTGTGCAAGAAGAAGTGAAAAAGTTGCTTCGACGTTGAACATAGTTATATTGAAGTCTATGTTATAGGCAACATGCATTATCACGTGACAAATAAGCGAAGAAACGTAAAACCAATTGATAACACCAAATGACGTCACGTGGATTATAGTAACGTAAACTGTTTCGCCAATTGGCGTTATCCGCAGCGAATGTGTTAAGGGGGTATTCTAGTTTTCAAGCTAAAAGAATTGATATTTTCTTTGTGCATTTTTGCAATCCTTATTCCTGTCTGTCGAAGGATTTTTCGAAATTGGATAAATTGTAGGAGCTAGACTTCGAAAATCTTTAAACGTAGTTTTCTCAAAACCAAGTTTTCCAACAGTGTCTACCATGGATTACTCGAAAGCTATTGTACTCGGAACATCTATCGCTATCATCCTAACCGAAACCAAACTACCTTACTGTCTTCTACTGGACATTCAAATATTTTTTGGGGTGTTAAAAAATTACGAGATATATACAAAGTGCCCGGTAAAGAGTTCAACAAACTTCGTCCAAGTATTTAGCAGGTGATTCTGAATAAAAAATGTTATATACACTACAGGTCTTATTCTTTTCGTTACCGAGATAAGCATTGTTGTTTATGTTGGCTTCAAGAGATCAGTAGTGTCAAAATGATGAAGGCAAAGCTTGTGCATAATATTCAGTCTACGTTTTAGAGTTGATTTGATTAGTTCGACAGTGTGCACGATGCCTCGTCCTTTTTCAAATGCCAGAATATGCCGACATGATATTCATATAAGCTTTCTGCAAAAATCAATGCAATGCAAGTTTCAGCAATGGTACCCTGATCGCATAGTTCATTTCTACTCTCCACAATATCTTTCGAAATTTCAGAGAAACGGGTTCTGAACATTATCTATGAATTAAATAATCCATACACCAAAAAGCATTATAAATTGTAGTGAATACGTTGGAATTATTTATTAATACATTATTTTCGATATAATTGACTAACAAAACGAACGAGACCTATAGTGCATATGACATTTTTTACTTAGAATCTTCTGCTGAACAAGTGTACGAAGTTTGTTCAATTCCTCGCCGGACACCCTGTATATAATAGGTAGATAAAATGAAAATTTATAAAATAACGTTGAAATTATTTTGAACATTTTTTGAATGTCGAATCATTTTTGAACGAATGTATGGGGGGGTTGTGGAATTGCAACAGAATATCATAATATGTATACTCACGGTTTTAATGGTGGCGATCAGCTCGCGAATGCACTCGATGCACGTATTCGGCTTGCCACAGATGCTGATCAGCCGATCCGTGCTGTGGGGGCAGCAGTGCGAATAAATCTTGATTCTCGCGCCAGTTTTCTGCAAACATCAAACAGAATCCACTCGTTATACGTTAATCTCGCATATATTGCAAATTCTACCGTCGACAATAATTCTCACAATTCAAACACACTCGGAATAAATTATTCCTTCTCCAACGCGCACAAAAATCATCCCTTAGTCAAATTTACAAATGGCGCGGTTAAAAATCACTTCTTGTGCCAGCGAAAAAATACATACTAAATAAAAGAATTCTACCATACTGTGAACCCTACCGATAAAATTTAACCAAGGTATTCTATTAGACTGCTGTTAGATGACGAATCTGTTGATTCATGCATTGGTCACACCTGTTTTCACTTTAACCGCTTAAGCTTTACGATCTTGACCCAGAATCATAATACTCTTACAAACATGTCAGATGGAAATCTTAAGGTAGATTTTTCATTATTTTTCTCAACTTTTCTTTTCAAAAAATCAATGGTAAAACGATAATAACATATTTTCAACCCTTTCGCGACTAGCGCCGGTTATATCCGGCATCCACTAGATGCTTCACATTGGCTAGCGCCGGTTATATCCGGCATCCACCAAGCACGTCGCATTGGCTCGCGCCTCAATAACTCAAAGTGAAGATTTATTTTAAAATACAGAACAAGGCCTCGACAACATTCCCTTTATCCGATACACCCTTAAGCCCTCTGCTGTTCCAACGAAATCCTCTAAGATTTAAAAAAAACGCGAGACACGACGACCTGTTCGTTAGTGGCGTACTGATGGCTAGTTCCGCCGTCGCGAAAGGGTTTTGTTTTCTTATATAAGATACTTTTCATTAGTTTATTACTATTATTATTAAAATTCAATTTTTATAAAACACATAAATGCATTTTTTGATATTAAAACTACATAAGAAATACGAAGCTTTTATTAAATTCTGTAAAAATAAATGCAAAGCTTATAGGGTTAAGTCCAAAGAATAGACTCATGTCTAATCATTCTGTAGCTAAGTGCCACAGCAATCCTCTCCTCGTTATCTGTAACAGTATAAAAGACTCCCTAAAAGAGCGGAGTAGAGTTCTTTTCTATCCTGGCAACAAAACGACTTGCCTATTTTTGTACTTCACAAATCAATAGTTGTATCTGGAGCGGTACGTTCAAAACGTCCGAAATATATTTCTATTGTTAAGTATAAATCGGTCTTAAGGTGTCTAACCCGGTTTCCAACACTGCAAGAATACAGAAGACACCAGAAATCAGGTCGAAATATCTAACAATATTGAAGAAATATTCGAAATGGAAGAAAATCTCAAGTGAAACGAATTCAACTTATTCCTAGAATAAACCTTTACTGTGACACATAAAACAACGCCAACTGTGGTCGCTGATAACCAAAATGTCGATGCAACCTTAACCCTCCATAGCCAAAAATATTTTCTCAGACTCCATAGACAAACTGAGTGGTTTGTGTCCAAGCTTAATTTTTTCACTGTTTCAAGCTTTCACAAAATCTGAAAAAATTCGGGAGTACTGATCAAAGTCTCTACTAGATAATACAATTGTTCGCAAATTGAAATGTTTCAAATTTTTTTCAATAAAGACACAAATTCACTTCGAAGAAACACGGGAGCGAAATTTCACTTGGATCGTAAAAGACCTAGATTGCCTACGGAGGGTTAAATTACGTTTAAAAAAAAAAAAAAAAAGTGGAGAAGAAAATTAAAATTCTACGCGTAATTTCTCGTTAGACGACGTTATCGAGAGGGGCACAGCTCGCCGGAGAAAGTGAAACTTTAATCGCGGACGTTGTGATTCTCCGCTCGATAACTCGACGCTGTGCAATTCTTAGGCGCCAATGGACGGATCGCGTGCTCAGAGTTGGTTAACAGTCAGCCCCCTGCCTCTCGAGATTGTACCTTCAGAGACAGGCTTGGGTTAAAAGCGGTAGACGTAGTTATTCGGTCACCTTTAATCCATCCACTTCTCTATTTCCCTCTACCGTGCTCCTACGAACGCGTTCTCATTTTTCAAGAAACGCTTTAACGCAATTATCGTGCCAAGACCTGTGGTTCCTCCCTTCCAGAAGCGAGGGAGGAAAAAGAAGAAATATCATGCAAGCGAGAACTGAGGGTAATTAAAATTAGCGTCCGCTAGACTTCTGACCACATGAAGCTAACTCTCTGCAGATAGTTATAGTCTGTTTCATTTTTCATTTTTTTTTTTTTTCTCTGGAATTGTTTATGGTTGGGACAAGTTTGGAGGAAACTGGAGTCGCGTGAGGGTCACCCGATAGAATTAGCGCGATTATTCGCGACGATAACGGGGAAAGATCGTAATGAAGGGAGAGGAGGTGATTAGGGAGCTGGGAGATGTGGGTTATAATTGTAGGTTACGTTTGTGAGGTATGACGTCTTTGTTTATGAATTCGACTGCAATCGAGTGGAAAAGTTCGTGCCTTCGAGTTAAGGAAGTGTGGTTAATCTTCGAGAAATTATTATATTTAAGAGTAATTTTCAGTAAGTTTCAGATTTGATGTAATGGTTTATTTCGTTTCTGGGAAATTAATGATTTTTCTGTGAGTGTATTAGTTTATATTTACCTTTTCATTTATTTATTTTAGAATTTAGTTTTACTTATTTTTTCACTTGTAATGTGAATTCGAGAATAAACGGATAGTGGATATTTTTGTACATTTTTGCTAAATATTTCGTGTATGTAATACACACTGTTGCATTTCAAATTTCATTTGATCTTTAACACGTTCACTGCCACGTTGGTCACGTGTGATTGGAGTTCCTCAAATGTTTAGGGTAATTAAAATAAAACGAATATCGTCAACTACAAATTTCGAACATCATAGCCATTATTTTGAATAAAAAAATAATAATAATAATAAAGCATAATAATACTAAGCTTAGAATGATGAAAATTTTCTTGTGGCCCCCTAAGAGCAACCTGTAAATCTGGCATGGCAGTCAACGTGTTAAATAGTCGTACAACATAGAGATTTCACATATTGCTTATTTCGTTTCTAGGAGACTAATGATTCTTTTTTCAAGAATGCATTCATTTTTAACTTACTTTTAAGCAATCATTCATAACACAAACACCACTAATTGAACACTTCTTCTCATCTACATGTAAAAAAAATCATACTTCATCGTCGACAAAACAGACGAGCAGAATTTCCATAAAATTTAACGAAGCTTTCTATGTTAATCACCCGACCTTAAATCTTTCCCTCAAAATTATTCCTACGACTTCCAGAAACTTCAACATTCCCGAGAAACACTTTCGAGAAGTTCCATAGAGGAACATCTTGCGAACCTATCTCACCGCTTCTCGCCAAGCGCTATCTCTGCCATTCTTGCTAATGATAATAACACGAAGCAAGGCACACATTTGAATTCTCGCCAGGGGAAAAGATATTGGCGAGAGGCAATCCAATCTACAGATACGTCCTCTGGCCGATGGATATTCGGCATTGTGTGGAAATTGCACCGTTTAATTACGTAGATCAAAGGGAAATGGCGTCGCCCACTTCCCTCTCTCTCACTTCTATTCTTCCGCTACCGAACCAGACATCCGGTCACGTCGCTTCGACAGATCGCTTTTCCACGAGACGAGACGAGACGAGACGACGCTGATCACACTCGACCTGTACCATTGTTTCTTTCGAGATATTAAACGCTTCCAACGAGTGAGCCAACACTTGTGCACATTATTTCTCTTCGTTCGAGAATATTTGATGTTTCGACGATGAAAACTTTGGGCAAAATTATTTTACCAGTTTTAACACTAGCTTTAGGGACATTTCTTATTACCTATCTCTACGGACACGCGTCAAGTTGACACATTTTCTTTAAAGAACCTCTTATTTTATTTAAAAACAACCTGTAGATTATTAACTTATAAATGAAACTGTGTGGTATTACATATTTATATAAAATTTGCAATAAGCATAAGTGATAGGAGAGAAATATAAACGGTTTCTGTAATTTTGCTTGTGAAATTCGAAGTGCGTCAAAATGGCGCGTCCCGTAAACCTATGTAGAGAGGTTATTTATAGGGGTGGAGAAATATGTTGAGAACCTATAATGACGTTTTGTTTGCGCGGAGCCTTTGTTCCCGTGTGAGTTGAGGTTGCAAATTGATCGAGGTGTGGGACACGGTTGCAGTAGCAGGAAAACAACTTTTATATAGTTGAACGGTGATTTTTAAGTAGCAAGATACTTTCATTTCACTGTTCATCTTCGAAACTTGAATGCACACATTGTTGCAGTCTCTATTCTCGAATGCAACATCGATGGACGTACTATTTCGAATGCAAAACATTGTTGTACGCGTTACTTTTGAACGCAACATTACTTGAAGCGTTATATTAGAACGCAAACATTGTTGGAATCTCTATTTCTGATTGCAACATTATTAGAATTCTGCGTCATTCTCGCTTGTAACATCGTTAACTCCTATTATTTTCGAGTGTGCATTGTGGCAAACATGTTATCGAGTTAGCAACATTTTTGCCGCGAATCGTTCTCGAAAAACGCACATTGTTGCAGGGTGCACCGTTTTGCAATTTTGTTGCCTGAAGCCGCTCCCGAAAATTGCACATTGTGGCAAACGCGCTATCGATTTTGCAACTTTGTTGTAGCAAATAGCTCCCGAAAATTAAACATTGTTGCAAACACGTCACAGGCTTGCAACTTTGTTGTCGCGAAAAACGCACATTGTTGCACGACGCGCCGTTTTGCAACAATGTACAATTTTCGGGAGCGTTTCCTGGCAACAAAGTTGCAAAAGAAGAACCGCGTATGCAACTTTGCTGCCCGGAGTCGCTCCCGAAAAAAGCACAATGTTGCAAAACGAGGCGTCGTGCAACAATGTGCAATTTTAGCGACAACAAAGTTGCAAAGCCAGAACACGTTTGCAACAATGTGCAATTTTCGAGAGCGACGCCCGGCAACAAAGTTGCAAAAAGGGTATCGAGCTTGCAACTTTGTTATCAGGAGTCGCTCTCGAAAAAAGCACAAAGTTGCAAAACGGGGCGTCGTGCAACAATGTGCAATTTTCGAGAGCGACGCCCGGCAACAAAGTTGCAAAAAGGGTATCGAACTTGCAACTTTGTTATCAGGAGTCGCTTCCGAAAAAATCACAAAGTTGCAAAACGGGGCGTCGTGCAACAATGTGCAATTTTGGCGACAACAAAGTTGCAAACCCGATAACGCGTTTTGCAACATTGTGCAATTTTCGGGAGCGATCCACGGCAACAAAGTTGCAAAAAAGGAGAGATCGCGTTTGCAACTTTGTTGCCGGGAGTCGCCCCCGAAAAAAGCACAATGTTGCAAAACGGGGGCGTCGTGCAACAATGTGCAATTTTGGCGACAACAAAGTTGCAAACCCGATAACGCGTTTTGCAACATTGTGCAATTTTCGGGAGCGATCCACGGCAACAAAGTTGCAAAAAATGAGAGATCGCGTTTGCAACTTTGCTGCCGGGAGTCGCCCCCGAAAAAAGCACAATGTTGCAAAACGGGGGCGTCGTGCAACAATGTGCAATTTTGGCGACAACAAAGTTGCAAACCCGATAACGCGTTTTGCAACAATGTGCAATTTTCGGGAGCTATTTGCGACAACAAAGTTGCAAACCCGACAGCGCGTTTGCTACATTGTGGCCTGCTCGGGCTCTCGAAAAGACATACATTGTTACAAACGCGATTTCTCGCTTTTGCAACTGTGTGAAATGTATTATGTTTGAAATGCAGGTATTTTCGTTTGTAACGTTGTACGACATACAAAACATTGTTGTATGCAGTACTTTGTACGCAAAACATTGGCACAGGCATTTACTTGATCACTCGTGTTCAAATAAAAAAGTGCTAAGCCACATTTTCAATTTATTCATCTATGGATAATGCAGCTTGTACGAAAGCATCTGTATGGAAAATATATGCATTAACCGTGTTCCTTAATGAAATATACTTGCAATACAATTGAAACCTCCCAAAGTGGTTATAATAATAAAGTTACCAATCGAATTCTTAGAATCCTCCACCGATTAACCAGCAAAAACGACATACAGAAATAATAATATCGAAGTTTTAAAACAGTACCGTTCATAATTCTTACCTACCTCTCGTACAATATCTTAAAGCAATTTACGAGCACATCAGTTTCCAAGTCCATTCGATTCACCCTTGTGAGCAGTCGGGAATCGATCGCGGGCACCCTAAATAGTGTTAAGCCAAATGCACTTGGAAAAGGTGAAAAGTAATTATTCGATAGAATTTTACAGGAAAACTCACGAGGGAAGAAAAAATTCAGGAATAAGCCGGTTTATGTATATGATTTATTTTATTGCGAAATTTTCATATTGAAACTCTTAATTCGAGAGTTACGTATGTAAGTAAAGTAATCAAACATTTCCCGCCAATTTTTAAATAATTTTTACAAAGTATTGTAAGAATGGTAGGTTACGAACAGATCTTGCTCACAGAAAATTAAAAACAATAACGATTACATTTTAATAATGTAATCACAAAAATGACCATTATGATACTTCATTTCAATAACATTACAAGAAACACGCTCTTTTGGTTTTCAATTAAGCTTGAAAATTTGAACGTTAGCCAGCTTTTTAATTAATATAGCGCGAGACGTGGGAAGAAAACTAAAACGAATAGAACGTACGTACGATTTTCAACGAGAGCAACAGAGAAATACCACCGGCTCGGTATAATTAATTGACTGATTAATTAAAGAAGTTTCGTGGGTGCTTCACAAATTTATTAGAGGAAAAGTCAGTTGAGTTTCAATGAGAAACCGATTCTTCGAGTTGGAGAGAAGGTTATAGGCCAGTGTTTGCAATGTTTCCTTCTTTTTATTTTAGTCCACGATTTCGTCCAATGAAGAAATATCGAATTTCGTTACCAAATCGTATTTTCTTCGTTCACAAGAACTGAATATTCAGTGCGTTGCTAAATATTAACGTCTAACTGATTCGACTGAATATTCGAAAAACAGCATTTCATCGTTTGCGAATGTAACACGTGGCTACGACCACGTGTAATTAGACGATTATTCGATTGTGAGGAAAATTGGCGTGGGAAAGTGACGAAGTCGTTTTTTATTTTTTTTTTCACGATACAGAAACATCGATTCTGACGTACACTATCGACGAGAATATTTGATAGTTGTAGAAAAATGAGTAAAAAAAATGTACAATACACTTTTCTTACCAATTGAAAATCGAGGTGCAAAAAATATGCAAATTTTTTCAAAAGTGTCTACTCTTGCAGAACACCTTGATTAACAGAAGAAGTGACGATTTTGTAAGACAGGCTTAATTGTCACAGTAATATTCTTTTATAATCAATTTGGCTTTATTTAGCGTTATTTGCAAACTCTGTTATTCCACTCAGTGCAAAGTGAAAATGTGCAGAACCAAATTTTTGGCACTTTTCGATCAGATTTCTGCAATGACCCATAGCACTCAAGCGATTAAGCCTGTACAAAGGAACGAAGATCGACAAAGCGCCTGCCGAAAAAGTTTTGCCTTTTCCACGCGAAAAATATTGTTTTTTTTTTTCCCCCTAAAAATGGTTTGCTCGGATATCGTTTTTCCCCCAAAAATATCTCACGAAAATAAAGGGTGCGAAAAATACGGTATATATGATTACCAAAAATAGTGGAAACCTTTCGAAACAATGCGGCTAAATGAACCAATTAAAATATCAATTACAACATCGGCCACCGGGATGAATAAGACCGTCTATTATTGCGTAAAGTCGAGCCAGGAAGAACTATCGGCTGGAGAGATCCCATTGTGCTACAGCGGACTATTCAGCTTTTGTTAGTCCCCCGGTTGTAAATTCGTATTTATTATTTCACGGTTCCCCGGAGAAATAAACGACGGGCAACGATATTAACGACGGCCAGAACGTGATCTCGACAGCCTCATCAGGAATTAATACCGATCGCAAAGCGGAAACCTCTATTCTGTGCAAATGATCGAGCACAGTGAGAGCCGGCCCCGCAAGGCCAATGAATTTTCATCGAATCATTTTGAATAGTACTATGAACTTTCAAACACCGAACGGAGGCAAAAATTCTGCCACTTCGCCAGTCGATTACAAGCCTCGATCCGATTCGGTTCGATTCTTTTGGTGGTGCTTTACGTTGTAAGGAAGATCGTGAGAATAATAATAACTGATAATATTGGTTTTTATCGACAAATTTTGGTGAGTTTTGGAAAAGAGATCTACGTAAATTTATTTATAAATGTGTCGAAAGTGTTCGATACTGCGAAATTAATTGATTAATTTTTGGTTAATTTGAAAATCTGGATAATTCCAAATTTTTTCCATTACTGCTTCACTTTCGCCTTCACAAAAATTTCCGTGAAACAAATTACGATTCTTCGTGGAAGAGTCGTGAGACACCATCTAACGCCGACACCGGCGTTAGAAATTTCGATAGGTGATATCGATAGTCACGATGACACAGCGTTACATTTACCTAGAACCTACACTCTCGTTCATAAGTATTAGGACACATATTGAATGTGAAGCTTACTGAAATCTCGTGGATTCTATTGAAATCTGTTGAAATGCTGCTGAAATCTACCAAAATTTACTAAACCCTACTAAATTAATCATTTCTATTGAAATATTCTGAACTTTGGGAAATTTGGGAAATCTACTAAAATCTACTAAACTTTATTCACTGAATGTGAAGGATATTGAAATCCAGTGAATTCCATTGAAATCTACCAAAATCTACTAAAATCTGCTAAATTAATAATATATCTATTGAAATATTCTAAAACTTGGGAAACTTAATAAAATCTACTAAAATTTATTCACTGAATGTGAAGGATATTGAAATCCAGTGAATTCCATTGAAATCTACCAAAATCTACTAAAATCTGCTAAATTAATAATATATCTATTGAAATATTCTAAAACTTGGGAAACTTAATAAAATCTACTAAAATTTATTCACTGAATGTGAAGGATATTGAAATCCAGTGAATTCCATTGAAATCTACCAAAATCTACTAAAATCTGCTAAATTAATAATATATCTATTGAAATATTCTAAAACTTGGGAAACTTAATAAAATCTACTAAAATTTATTCACTGAATGTGAAGGATATTGAAATCCAGTGAATTCCATTGAAATCTACCAAAATCTACTAAAATCTGCTAAATTAATAATATATCTATTGAAATATTCTAAAACTTGGGAAACTTAATAAAATCTACTAAAATTTATTCACTGAATGTGAAGGATATTGAAATCCAGTGAATTCCATTGAAATCTACCAAAATCTACTAAAATCTGCTAAATTAATAATATATCTATTGAAATATTCTAAAACTTGGGAAACTTAATAAAATCTACTAAAATTTATTCACTGAATGTGAAGGATATTGAAATCCAGTGAATTCCATTGAAATCTACCAAAATCTACTAAAATCTGCTAAATTAATAATATATCTATTGAAATATTCTAAAACTTGGGAAACTTAATAAAATCTACTAAAATTTATTCACTGAATGTGAAGGATATTGAAATCCAGTGAATTCCATTGAAATCTACCAAAATCTACTAAAATCTGCTAAATTAATAATATATCTATTGAAATATTCTAAAACTTGGGAAACTTAATAAAATCTACTAAAATTTATTCACTGAATGTGAAGGATATTGAAATCCAGTGAATTCCATTGAAATCTACCAAAATCTACTAAAATCTGCTAAATTAATAATATATCTATTGAAATATTCTAAAACTTGGGAAACTTAATAAAATCTACTAAAATTTATTCACTGAATGTGAAGGATATTGAAATCCAGTGAATTCCATTGAAATCTACCAAAATCTACTAAAATCTGCTAAATTAATAATATATCTATTGAAATATTCTAAAACTTGGGAAACTTAATAAAATCTACTAAAATTTATTTACTGAATGTGAAGGATATTTAAATCCAGCGAATTCCATTGAAATCTACAAAGAATTTTGTTAAAATTTGTTGCATTCTAATGTCTATAGAAATCTGTTGAAACCTATGGAAATCTTCTAAAATCTGACACCTAGAAAACTCTACACAAAACTGAGATCTACTATTAAAATATAAAGCAAGCGACATTGTCATTACGTGTTTAATAAAAAATTATTCGACGCACAGAAGCCGTTCCGAAATTACCAAGATCCTAAAAACAAAATTATTCGTTCTAAAATATCGAAGTATAAACTAGTACATTTTTCACACAAGCAATTCAAATCTTCCTGAAAGGCAATGTAAACAGCAAGCGACCTTTTTTCAGATGTGTACAAAATTTTATCTATACTGCACCACTTTGTGGAAACGCTAAAAATTCAAGGCTGCCCCATATATCATTTCGCAGCGGAGTGTAGTACAGTCGATGGAAGAAATATAGCGAGGTCGTAAAATCGGTCAGGCGTCAGAGTTTAACACGTTCGAGCATATCGACAAGTGGATTTATAAAAATTTGAGAAGATAAGGACCGGAAATCTCGATCAAAGCCGCATGAAACATGCCTTAATTTTAATTCAAGCCTAATCAAAAAATGAGGAATGTCGCATTCGACCATGGATGCTTGATTAACGCTTCAATTTACGATCTTGTTATATTTTTCCCACCAACTACGCTACAATTTGCCGCAGCGAGAGATGAAACTGTTACTTTGAAATAAGTTGAAATTGTTAAGTTAAATTAATACGAAAAATGAAATTGTTTCTTCTCGGCATCTCGTCTCGTCCGTTTTACTAGCTTAGCAAGACCATTTTCTGCAGCCGTTTGTGCTTATTTTCAAAAATGATATCGTTAGAGACAGAAATTGAGAAACATTTTTCAAGAAAGTTTTTTTAAAATTTCAATCATTCGATAAAATATTCACGTCTAGCCTCTTTTGTACACAATTAGACGATTACTTTTGGTGCCCGCTACCTAATGCTTTAATTCACGACCTAATACAGGACACTTTTTTCTCCAAAATAAAGAATAAAAATCTATTTTCACTAATACACGAATTTTGGCGGGAAAATCTAATTTAAACACTTTCTACACGAACATTACGGGTGTCCTGATACTTATGAACCGCAGTGTACACCTCGTATCTCATAAATGTTCAACAGCCTGCTACCGCGTATCTTCTAATCGAACACTCGATCTATCACTCTCTCTCTCTCTCTCTCTTTCTCGTGAAATATTCATCAGACTCCGAAAATTTCGTCGAGAATTCTCCGGAACCGGTGAAGAGTGTAGAGAATGGTCGAGGTAGAAATCGCGAGGGAGCACACATGCGAACGACCACGTGAAATCGAAACTACGTATAGCGAAAAGAAACCGGCTTTCTACGAGAAGAGGGAAGAAGAAAGGACATCGACTTCACTACCGGCGATCAATGTCTGTGTCCCAGAGCGCGTTGCTTTTTCTGTTTCCGCTCGCAGACGCCTCGCGATACCTTCGTCGGCTGTTTCCCCCTAACAGACAACGTCGCGAGACGCTTTTATCGCGATCAACGCGGATAATAGATTCCGCGAGGTTGACGTTCGCGAAATTTCGTACCGTCCTCGACTCAATATCGATCCGCTGCTCTACTTTTCGCCGCTCTGTTGTCCCGCATTACGCTTCGTTCCGTGTTTTTCGTTCAACTTCTCAATTTTAAATGGATCAAGTAAAAATTTTGCCCCATTTTTCCTTTCTTGCGATACTCTTTCTCCTTCTTTTCTTTTTTAACATTCAACGTGCTGCCGTTCTTTGGAATTTACCGTGTGAATGGTGAAGCAAATTTCGTAGCTCGGTTCTTGAAAAATTTTCATTCGTTTCGTGTAAGTTCCGAACGCTGAAGTGTCTTCACTGTGAAAGTTCTGATTTATTTATCTTTTTTATAAGATGAATGACACCTTATTTAAAATTAGTTTTACTGAGATTGTTGGTCCCTCTGGTTTTCGAAATAAATCAGTTTTCAAGCGTAATTATTTACTGAAAATTACATTCGGTGGATTCACCTATTTATGACATTCACCGTCCAGTAGTTTCAGTTATTAAACGCTAAATAGTTTTGTCTAATATTAATTCGTTTGCGTTAATGTAACAATAGAAGAAGTAAAGTATTTTCATTACGATAAAGTTTACGATAAAGAGTTTTTCAGTATTAACCTTTTAGCTACTGTACGCCACTACAGTGGCTTTCCTCTAAATTCTAACATTTTGTTACGAAAAACCACTACAATGGCTGACTTGTTTATCTCGCGTTGAAAGCCGTGTACATTAATTATGAGACGTGGGGAAACGTCTTCGTATGTTTCGATTCGCACTTTTCATTTTTTTCTTCTTTTTATTTCTCGCGGTATTAACGTCGTTCACGCGAAGCACTGCTCCGCGTGAAAACTCCTTTATTATTTTAAAATATTCTTTTTGAATTTATTATTTTAAAATCGGAGTTTCTTAATTACACTACTTACAAAAATGTCCGTCACTGAAACAGTAGTTCCTTTTCTTTCATCGTTAATTTGAATAAATTATACGTATTCGTACATTTTTCTTATGAAATTGACCACGTCAGAAATACGTCTGCTCGTATGTTAACGAGCAACGTCACATTTATACATTAATTATACTTGTTAATGAATACTTCAATAAAGGAGTAATCTAACGAAATACAAATACTTTTAACTTTAACCCTTTACGGTTCAAATAGCCCAGTTAGTCCGCGCTCGTTTGGCCATCCTCGAATAATTTGCTTTAATTTTAACATTTCAGCGTGATATTAGTTGTAAAATATTAAGTTTCAGTATAACATTAATGTACGAAAAATGGTTTCTTATCGTTTATAATTTACAACTGATCATCGCATGACATCTACGTATATAATCTTCTCAAATTCCGATCAACGTATCGCGTTATCTATCTTTTTTAATGAAACGAAATAACCAATTGGTCGCTAATTGGAACGTTTACTTCAACTGCATTGTTTATTCCAATTCTACAGGTAAACATTGAACAAGCCTGAACCGAGAAACATGTCGAAAACATTCTCAGCATCGCAAGTGTCGATGCACAATAAGGAGAAGGATCTATGGATCATATACAAAGATGGCGTTTACGACGTAACGAAATTTCTGAAGGAACATCCAGGCGGTGAGGAAGTGTTGATTGATCTAGCTGGAAAAGACGCGACTAAATGTTTCGACGACGTTGGACATACCATCGAGGCTATACAACTTCGCGAAACTTATAAAATAGGAACGGTGGATAACACAGCTTCCGCAGAACAGTCGCCTTCCAGTGGTGCGTAAAATGATAAATTTTTCTTTTAACCCCGTGCCGTATAACAACGAATCGGACTCGTGGCACAGATTTCGGCGAAGATCTGGTAAAGACAGTTATATCGGTAAGAAGAATTAATTTCAATTCTAATTTTTCATTTCATTTGCAAAACGGAAGATTGACAAATTTAATTAATCTACAATACATCAACTTTTCGTACAACCAGTTAGCTGCGTTCGGCGTGTATACTCGTCGTGTAAAATAAAAAATTACCATTTACTATAAAAACTCCAAATTTCAATAAGTAATAAAAGTGTCATTTAGTGGTATGTTTCCTTTACATTACCACTAGAACTATACACCGTTCAAAATAAGAGTAACCTCGCTCTCGGACCGATTCTCGTCCGTTCTGCGCATCGACAGAGAGCGTAGCAGAGGGTAAGACGGAGAAAAACGTAGGCGGTTAAATGGGGGTTTGGACGTTCCTAGTGCAGTGACGACGAACCTTTTGAACTCGGTGTGTCAAAATTGGGAAAAAACTTAGCTTGACTCGGGTGCCGTGTCATCCATAATTATATCCATAATTGTTGCGAGCGTTACGACCTTGTACGATCACGGACTCGCTATGGTTCAGCTCCGAATTAACGATTCTGAACCTCGTTGATAGAAGATAGACACCGTTGTTCTTTGTGATCTGCTCGGTTTCGGCTGTGAGGTGACTTAAGTCGACGCGTGCCACCCAAAATGTCTTGGCGTGTCATAGAATCGCCATCACTGCTCCAGTGGTTCTAGCCCTGCCTTAGACACGTCCCATGCGCGAAGCGAGGTTACTCTCATTTTGAACAGAGTATACCAACCGGGTCAAAATGACCCATTATCGACTTTCCAAAAGTGAATTTTTATGTAACTAAAATGTGGATGAACAATTAGATTAGATCGGTACAAATAGAAGCATACATGCAGAAGACAAAGTCGACAAGCTGCTAATGGGTCATTTTGACCCGGCCGGTAGTTCCAGTGTTAAATCAACTGAATTTCTTAAAATTATTTTTCTTTAATTTTTCTTCTTTCTGAATTTCATTATTTTTTGCGGATTTTCAAGTTTTTAATAACAATATCCTTTTCAACAATGAATTGTTAATTTTTTATCGAATAAAAATGTAACCCTTCCTCGTTTTGCTTTACTTTTTTCGCAAAATTTATAATAGGAGCATTTGCCCTGCGTCCGACGTGTATACTCGTCATTGCTGTTAAATTCCGCAGTTAACTGGTTAAAACGGTAAATAACCGATGCTTAGATGCATAGTCGGGAGAAGAAGTCATACGTGAACGGGTTAATTTGCGCCAAGAAAATTTTTCTCCACGTTCGATTGTACACAGATTAAGACGCGTTTCCTCTGTTTTCCTGGCAGGCGTGCAAGGAGCGACGATAGACGACGACAACTGGGATTACCAGCCATTGGAAAACAAATCGTCACCGTGGCTTCCGGTTTTCGTAACAGCTGGCGTCCTCATTTACTCGATCCTTTTTTACTACTTTTGGTTCTCGTAAGGGGAGTAACAATCGTCGAATAGAAATTACCCGCATGCGACATAACACAATCCTGACGAATAGAAAACATTTATTTAAAAAAAGTATCATCGACAATGTATATATTAATTATTTCTGTTGCTTGCATTCAATGAAAAGGAAATACACAATCGTGACGAATAAAACGCTTATTTATTTTTTGAAAATATCACGGGCAATGTGTATATTAATTAATCTGGTTGTTCCTATTCGATGAAAAGAAAAACACCAGAGAGAGAGAGAGAGAGAGATCAAAATTCGATAAAATTACTACTAAGATAAGATAACGCTTTATCTTGACGTCAAGGAATTTATCAAATTTCACTTCGTAATCAAACACTTTATTTACGCGACAAACGTGATAAATAATGAACACTTTCTTCTTGCTGTTCCAAATATTTTAACACGTACGCTGCTGTCAGGAAGTATTACGACACTTATTGACTATGAAAGAAGGGTAAACAGTCGTTAGATAATTATCACGATCTTGCAAAACAATGACTCAGTCTGGAAATTCGTAGTGCAACGAGTACATATGGTCAAATTTAAATGTAAATATTTGCAGTGTGTGTACAAAGTATTCGTGCATTGATTAATTTCACACATTTCCTACAATTGTGGTTTATTAACGAATTTTTGTAAAACGACTATGTACAGGTGAACCTATAAATTCGTGTCGAAATTTGTAATTTCGATCAATATTTCCAACGAACCTTTAAATTTGATAAAAAAAAAAACGAAAGTGCCTTCTAATTTCATAATTTTTTTGTATTTTCTTTTTTTTTTTTTTTTTTGCAAAACCATTACGTATGTCGTCGCTATAGAATTTCCTTAGATTTTCAGTCAAATATTTTTCGCTTTCGGCACGAACTTATGGGATGACCTAATATTTTCAGAGATCTCTCGAATAGATATGAACAAAATGTCAGGTACTCGTATAATTAGCAAAATTAACAAGAAAAATTGAAAAAATGAGAGATTGAACAAATGATAAATCTACCTCAAAATTTCAACAAGAAAAAAATTAATTTCAGTGAATTTAACAACAGAGAAATAAATTGAACTCCTTAATTAATATTACGTACGAACTCGTTCTATAAAAGTTAGTTACTAAATCGCAATTTTACGATGTGTTGCTGGAAATTGATCGGCATACGAATATTTCCTACATCCACTGTATTTCCATTTAACGTGCTGTCATAAAAATAAGATCCTAATAGTGTGTCATTGATTACATCACACCAACGACTGTCACGAAATTGAGTTTGAAAATAAGTTTAGTGTGTGTCGTTGAACTTATATCGACAAACCCTTTCCTATAATATGTCGTATACCTCTCTCCTATCTTTCATTAGTTTTTAGTCATCCTGCCTCCTTTCCTTAACTGTAAACAAATCGGCATCATCCTAACGTTAGTCACCCCGAAACCTAGACCTCCACATCATCCTTTACTTTTACTCATCGCTGAACCTAGACCTCACCGCCTCTCCCTACATTGACCTCTGAGACCAACCCCTACTTACCGAACCTATATCTAGAAACCTTTTCCGTCGAAACGACAGATTTTTGTCTAGTGATCTTCACGCACCGAACGTCACCGAACTGTCTAATAAAGTCGAATAGTACTACGCGCAGAATAGCTCCCTTATTTCGCCCCAGTTTCCGTCAGGCTCTCCTACCGCGTACCTATTGAATATAATAAACCAACGCAAGGAATCGCGAGCCGCGGAATACAACAAATATAAAAACAGTTATAGCTATCAATTAAAAAAAATTCGTTACATAGTACATACAATACTTTCTGTACGAACATAACAGGTGTCCCAATACTTATGACCGTGGTTTACGTTCAATTAATACATTAGCCTTTAGAATTGATTTTGTTTTAATTTCAAATGCCCAACGTAATTTCCCAACGTAAAAAGAAAAAACATACACCCACCCGAAATTATAATATATTACACAGCGTCCATGAATATATTCAATCAATTCCTCCGTGTATTCCGGCACGTCCCGATTTAAATTAAAATTCGTGTCGAAAATTCAACCCGGCAAGACGTGCCTCCCCCACGTCGAGATACCGACGATCGATAAAACAGGTCGTTTATACAGCTGGCGAAGTCACAAAGTGTAACTAGCCACATGCTTATTTAAATCAGTGATTTGTCGATAAGACGCCGCTTTGCAGAGAGTTTCAAAGACGATTAACGCCGCAAAATAAAAAGTAGAGAAAAAATTTGACGAAATTATCGTCCATGAAATATGAATATTAATATTTTTTATACCGTTGCATTAAAAACTTAGCTAAATTACTATAAGCGTTTGAATTGCAACATTATTGCAACGATTTACTTCAGAGTATGGAGTTAGCAACAGATTGGCTTCTGAAATGAATGATTTATCGTTCAAAGGCCATAACAATTTTTGTCATTTAGCGGTGTTAAGCTTAATCATTAACGCGTTCGCTACCAAGCGTCACATAGAGGAGATGAACATGTGGGCTAGTTGAAATATTGAATAATGCTAAGTGCACTCGAAACTACGATTTATGAACGAAATAAGTGTTGCAGAGGAGATAGTAACCTGCATTTATTTTCTTTACATGTATTGCAAAACGTGTCATTTCTGTTATTTCGCTATTTCAAAACATTCTTCAGGTAAATTCGTTTTATTGTTTCAGCAATAACCTATTAAACTAAGAGGTAATTAACTAGGAGTACTACGTTGCCGACATTGCAAGTTTCTTTTCAGTTAAAGTTTTGTAATGAATACCAATCGCTCTAAGCGTTCCTGACCAAATCATCTAAATATGGGCTACAAAGGTAGTAGCTTTATAATATGGGCTAACATGGTCTAGCCAGCGTAAGAATTCGGTGACTATGAGAATTGTAATAAGAAAAATACCAAAACATTCGAAAGAAAGGTATATACGTTTGTGACTGTTGTAAATAGATTGTAAATATTGTAAATAGCATTTAAGTTTACATTTTTATATGTAGATAAACCTTATACTTCAACCTAATATTTCAACCTGAAAATATGCAGTTCTTACTTCTCATTTCAATTATTTTCCAAGTGGCCCATATTTAGAACACCTTTCCAAAAATGAAAATTTTCCCTTTTATCTTAAATGTATAATTTGCAACATACGTTGCTTTTGTTCAGCTTATTTTGATCTCGTATCATATAGTAAACATGTTATTGATATACACTACCGACCAAACATTTGGAATCACTGAGTATTGCAATTTACATACAAATTTCCAGAAAAAAGTCAACGACTTTGAGAATTTTTTATCGTTCGAATCAATTGAAAAATGTACAATTGAGATAAACTTCAAATCTATAAAAAATTAGCAGCAGATTTAATATTGATGAGAAGTGGGAGGTGATTCCAAAGTTTTGGCCGGTAGTGTATATTCAAGTGTTATATCTTAAAAATCAATAAATCCACAATAAATTTGACAATAAATCCTGAAATAACAGTGCTAGCCGATATTTGGACCTTCTCCTCTACTCACGTATAATAAATCGTATTATCTACATGTAATACGTCATCCAAAATTCACAATTTGAGTATTTAATAAAAATTAGGTGTGCATAAGTGCAGGCTTCCGTCGTATTACGTAAAATTGACAAAAATATAGATATTAAAGATGTAAATTAAAATAATTCGAAGGATAGGGGACGATGCTTCAACAGTCTCAAGGAAATTTACTTTATATATAAAAAGATAAGCATCAATCAAGTGCTCTGACAATAAAATTAAAAAAAAAAATTAAAAAGTAGTGTTTTATTTATATATCTTAATTTCAAAGATTCGCGGAGAAAGCGACAGAAAATCGCGAAGAATGAAATGTTCATCGTGTAGAAATTATCTTGCGGCAAGTAGTATACAGTACACATAATCGCGTGGAGAAAATTTTGCCGATGTGACGCGTGTCACTCGAGCGATCAACTTCCTCGTCATCGTGACTTGCTGTATTATTGTATTATCAACGAGCCGTAGTTCGTACGTGAATTTAGAAGCGAGGAAATTGGAAATATACGACGACACACTGGAAATTGCTTTACAATAATATTCTTGTGTTAGTTGTACTAAGAGAATGATTAATTTCTCGTCTTAAAATAGCAAGTGTTACTCGTTACACGAACGACTGATTGAGAAAAAGTGATTACAAAAAAGGTAAATAATGGCCTAATTATGCTGTGACTCGACGTGAGTAGAAGTTCACACTAGAAACAAAAGAAAATTACACAGGTTAAAATTCCGAATACGTAAATATTAAGAATTTAGCAAAAGCGAAAGCAAAAATACGATTGGAAGTTAGTAACATTGTAAAATTCAGGAAAATTATTGAAAGTTAGATAAAAAGAACTAAAAGTAATTTAAAAAATTTTTTTTAAAGTTTCCACTTTTCTGCCACATTTTAGTGAGCACTAAGAATTATTAAGAATTTAGCATAATTGCTATTCCTCCACTAAATCAATATTTCAACACCAGAACAACCGGAGATGAAGCAAAGCTGAAGTCGTTAAAAAATTATTCAGTCTGAAATCTCGTAATACAGCAAGCACATATGAAAAAACTTTGAAATATTCATTTCCATTTAGGATGTCGTTATAAACATAAAATTCTAATAGTTTGTCATTGATTATGTCATACCAAACACTGACAGGAAATCGAGTTTTATTGTAGGTCGTTCAACTTATCTCGGCAACCGCTTTCATAAAATACGAAAACAATTGTAGCTATGAATTAAAAAGAAACTTCGTGGTATTGTCATTATGCGCAAATCATTGCAAAATTAAAAAATCTATTCAAGTCGTCGTATTGTGTATCAAAGATAGTGAAATTTTATCCTCTTCCATTTTTCTCATAAATCCACCGCTGAAGAGAAAAACTTTCGAAACTAATCACGTGAACGTGATGCTAACTTTAGCGAAGAAATGTAATTGAAATTATATGATACTCTCTGTACGAACACAATAGGTGTCCTAATACTTATAGATGGTAATGTACAAAAAAACTTCGAAATTAGAATGATTAATGAAAAATAAATTAGCATATATAATTATTTCACAAAACAATTTCTGTAATTTAACGTAATGAATCTGAAATCCGTCATTTTGAAGGATTTGCTTGTTCTAACGTTAACATATCTTTTCGCCTGGTTACATTTTAAAGTAATTTTCTAAGTAACCCTTTAATTACTCCATGTGACTTGAAAATTACGTATCATGTGTCTACAGTTTATAAGTCTCGTTTCATTTATTTATTTACTTTATTAAACACTGCTCGCCAAAAACTTGCGACATCTGAAAAACGAAATTGCACAAATCTGAATTTCACGTATATTGTCTAGAGTATTGAAAGGAAAAAAT